GGGGGGTAAATGTCCGGGGGGTAATTGTCCGGGGGGTAAATGTCCGGGGGGTAATTGTCCGGGGGGTAAATGTCCGGGGGGTAATTGTCCGGGGGGTAAATGGCATGGGGGGTAAATGGCATGGGGGGTAGTTGTCCGGGGGGTAATTGTCCGGGGGTAATTGTCCGGGGGGTGATTGTCCGGGGGGTATTTGTCCTAGAACCATATATTTGTATTGTGTTTTACTAATAAAGTCAGTCTTTAAGAACAAATTCTACGACTACATCGTCTTAACTCTTTGCTACTATTTGCTAACAACTCTACAATTCTACGATGCCACAATCTACGATGCCGGGGCGGAGATCAACAACTTTACAACTCTACGATTCTACGATGCCGGAGCGGTGAAAACAACAACTTTTCCCAGTACAACGTGGTTGAGGATGCAACGATCTGCATTCGCTACGCTAATCCCCCGGAACCAGAAGAAGAAGAACAAGAAGAAGACGAAGAAGGAGAAGAAGATTTCGCATTCGCTACGCTACGTTGATCCCCCCATGATGAAGAAGGAGAGACAGAGAAGAAGAGCGAGGGAGGAAGAAAATGGAGAGGCAGCTATCTCCGGACCCGACGCTCTCGCACCCGACAAAGCGGCAGCCATGTTGTCATGTCCTCCAAGCTCGACAGCCTCCAGAGCCCGCGCAGAGCAAGGTCGAGGAGCAGAAGAAGCAGAAGACTAACACGGCGACGATACCTAGGGTAAGCTACATCCTAATCACTGTATACATAGCCAAGAGACGGAAATAATTTTTTAACAGTAAAATAGCTCGAGCATTGCCGAGCAGCGCGAATTTTTTATAGTTATAGCTAGCGTGGTATTCGAATTTCATTATACGGCGTGACGGTGACTCAAAGCGTCGAAAGGAGAGATGTATGATATAGTAATTAAGCCTATGCGATGAGAAAGGCGAGACGCCTAGCCGCTTCTAAAGTATAACCTCAAACGTGGCCAATAGGGTAAGCTGAAATTAGCGACCCTGCCAACAGAGGCATACTACGGTACAAAATCACGATAGTATGTAAGGAAGATATTTAATTAAAGGTGAC